AAACACATGACAGTGGAATGAATTCCAATTCTTATTACACATATAGAGCAAAATTTTTCACATCTCTGTATATAAAGTATGTTCACACTAATTCATGTCTTCATACATGTACTTTGGATAGTGATGTCTATCACATTCCACCATCATTACTAACCCCTTCCCCCCTCCCTTCCCCACCTACCCCTCTGCCCTATCTAGAGTACCTCTATTCCTCCCATGTTCCTCCCCTACCCCATTAAAGGACAGTCACCTTATATCAGAGAAAACATTCAGCATTTGTTTTGGGGGGATTGGCTAACTTCACTTAGCATTATTTTTCTCCAATGCCATCCATTTACCTGCAAATGCCATGATTTTATTCTCTTTTATTGATGAGTGATATTTGTATATATGCCACATTTTTTAATCCATTCATCTACTGAGGGGCATCTAGGTTGGCTTCACAGTTTAGCTATTGTGAATTGTGCTGCTATAAACATTGATGTGGCTGTGTCCCTGTAGTATGCTGTTTTTAAGTCCTTTGGGTATAGACCGAGGAGAGGGATAGCTGAGTCAAATGGTGGTTAGAAATTAAAAAAAGACAAATACAGGTTTGGCTTATTGGAGAAATCTGAATATGGACAGGACATTAAGTAAAAATATAGCATTATCTTCATAAACAAACATGCTATATATAGCACACCTATTTTCCAAGGTGATTCCTGATGAAGTACTTAATGGGTTAAGTATAATGGTGTTTATAACTTGCAAATATATATGGTGAAATGTCAATAAGTGTTCACTTGAAGAATTTAGAAGGAGGAGAGGAAAGTATATGGATATACATTAAGCTATTTTTCAACTTCACTATATACTTGAAATTTTTTACTAAAAAGGTGGGGAAAATGAATTCAATAATAATCTAACATTTCAATTTAAAGCATTATTCCTCAATATATGTTACCACAATAATTACCTTATTTGTGAAATGAAGGAAGCCATATTGCATTTGTTTAAAATGAGAAGGAACTATCAGTTGTTGCAATAATGTTTTTATTGCTAAGATTTATAATACAGAGAATCCTCAATTTAGGAATTCCATTAACCAGCTCCTTGCTTCCTTCTCCCATTTAATCTTTTATCAACTGACATTATCCTAAGTACTCTGCATTATGTTTTCAGCCATCCACTACCTCAAAGTCTGTCTTCCCACATTCACTTGCCCAGTATATCTTCTAGAACATCCCAGAACAAAAGGAGTGTCTGAATATGTAACTACATATAAAATTGACTGAAATTATACTAAGAGTAAGACTCTAAGCTAGGTGGAAATATTTAAAATTATTGTTTTTATGTCTTGGGCCCCTTTGGTAAATATCATGTCAGAATTAGGTAATTTGACAATTTGGCAAACACTAGGACTCCTTGGAGTAATGTTGTTAAATCTATATGTTTTTAAGTCTAAAACAAATTTATGTTATAGTAATAAATGCACTGTTTCATGAGCACATTAAACAATAGAAACTTGAGGAAGATCAAATAACTCCTGCATTTTTAAGTAGTTATAGTTAGAGATTATAAGTATTAGTCATAATAGGATGACTATAGTTCACAATATCCTATTATATATTTTATGAATAACTAGAAGATTTGATTATTATATATTGTATACAATGTATGAAAATATCACACTCTACCCTATAAATATGTATGATTATTATGTGTTAACAAAAACTTCTGAAAAAGGTTCAAGGAGTTAGAAAAGTTAACTACAGTGATATAGTCATTACACACTCTCTATATGTATCTCATTATCACACTATTCCTCATAAACTTTTACAGTAATAATATAAATTTAAAAAGCATGAACAATATTTGAGATATATACAACTCTAATATGATATGAAAATATCAGGATTTTTAAAGTTTTGCTACTATTTCTGTGATTCAATGAGATTAGTGAAAACAAAGAGGTAATTTTTTTTATGTATTCACAATCATGGCACCTCTTTAATTTTATACATGGACCCAAGCTAAAGAACTTTTGTACACAGATTTGCTTTCTTTGAACTTAAGACTTCTCTTTATATCTGATAGGTTTTCATTTGTATCTCCTTGTTATGAAGATTACTTTGGTGGCAAAACATCACTGAACTCACTACTATCATGTCTAAACATGTAGATTTTATCCAGTAACTCTACTATGTAATTGAAGCAAGTGAATTTTCTGTCTTAAATTGCACAGCTAATTGACTATATTTTATACTTCATTTGCTTCCATCATAGGATAACATTGATGAATGTCCAATGGTATTTAAATATTTCTGAATATTTTCTTTCTAGTTCTGATATGCTGCATTCTCAATGAGATAGGGTTAAAGTTGTGTAGCTAAAATGGCTCCAAATAATTTTTTGTAGACTTTTTGCTTAAGTTACCCACTTTCTTTCATGTATGCCTATGAACTAAGAAATGTTAAATATTTCTAGCAGCTGTATATAAGTACCATTACAAATGAAGAGCACTTTTGGCAGGTCAAATCATATCAAATATTTTACCTGTGCAGTAAATAATTTCTCTTTTCTTCTATCGTCTACTTGAATAGCACTGAATTCATGCCATTGATTAACAATAGTTTCATGATTACAGCCCTCTCACAATTGTTAGGCTAACATATTCTTTATGAAATATTATTTTATTTATTTATACTTGGGTTGCTTTTGGACACATGGAAATAGCTGTGAGTATATTGGGAGAATTGACATTTATGTTTTATTACATTTTTACTCTTCATAAAACTTTAAATGATATAAAAATCCTGAGGCCACAAAACTGATCTCAGTGGAAATTTAAATATGCTAACATTTATTTTTAAAATGTGGCACAAAGTAGACAACTTTAAAAGCTGAGTTTAAAAACAAAAACCTCAAGGAAGCTGATCTTGACTTTTTAAAGCACAAAAGTGCAATATTTAATGTAGGTCAAAATATTTAAATGGGAGAGAATTTCTAACCAATTATTATAGCCAAATCCCTCGTGTAATTGACCTACAATTTGGATAGTTTTTCACAATAGAGTCAGCATATACCTTTTTCTTATAAAATTAGGAGGATCTAAATTTCTAGAGCCTATTTGGAAAAATAGGCATATTGTCTCGTCTTTATTCATAAATTAAAACTTGCATTTAGAAACCAATGACATAGGATTGAAACTTATCAAACTGTTTTATGCATATACACATATGCCAACTTGAAGCTCACCATTTTGTATAATTAATATGCACTAATAAAAAGAATCAATGACATGTAACAACATTTTAAAATTTCAGGTGAGTGTTATCAGAGGAAATAGTAGTATGCTCTATTCAAATACTATGTAATAAATATTTAAAAATGAGAAACAACTTTATACATAGTAAAGAAAATTAATCTTCCAATTTAATCAACTTTATATATTAAAGATACATATTTTTATACAATTACATTCAATTTTTCTAAATATTTTCATCTCTTAATTTACACCTGATGGAGCCTAGTTCAGAAATGACTATACACAGGTTTAAAACTGTTCATCATATAAACATATTAGTTATTCAAATAATGGAATACTTGTTCAATTAACAGAAGGATTTCAATCTAGGAAAAAATATGTATGAATTTCCAAGAAAGAAGTTTAGTTACCAAGTTTGGGTCTTTATCTTATGTAGTTTAAAAAAAGAATATTTTCTATACCCAGATATAACATAAAATATATATTTAGATGATGCTATTAGTATTTAACTTTGGCAAACTTTGTGTGTGTGTGTGTGTGTGTGTGTGTGTGTGTGTAGGTCAACTATATGTTTGTTTCATATAAGAATATGAACAGTATCTACTTTTCAAATAATGTAACATAAGCAAAAATGGCAAGAAGAGGCGGGAAAAGGCAATGAATATAATTCCACAACCTTCTTTCTAACACATCTTAACCAAAGATGTTCAGCAACAAGGTATCTCAGTCTTGCATATTAAAATTCACCTATTATGCACATGATAGGGAGGATGCAAGGGCTTGGCAATAGAACTGTTTTCATTGTTCATAACAATAGTCTCATTTGGTAAATAAAGGCCAATTTCTCCTTTATGAAATAAGAAACATTAGCATAAACAACTGGAAGCATAATACAAAATTGCATTTATAAAATATCTATGCAACTGCAGTAGCATTCATTTGGCTTTCAAACCCTTCAATACATTCCAAGGTAAAGTTAAATGATGATTGAAAGCAACAACAATTTTGGGGGGTTTTGTTTTTCATTTAGATTTCAACACTTTTGGCCTAAACACCTTTTCAAGAATGTACTAACAAATGTAGTGAAACTTAAAGTAAATATTGCTATCATATTTTTAACATAAAATCATATTTATACTTGTTATAAAAAATCTAACCAAAGAGCTGTCTTTCCTACATAATCATCATTTATAATTGCCCTTTTACATCATTAAAATAATGAGATTCAGCCTGCTAAGTTTGGAATATACTGAAGACATTCACATTTAAGCAAACATGTAATTTTAAAAATAAATTTAAAAGCTTAAAATAGCCAAGAAGCAATAAGTAGCAACAAGTTTATATTTTAGTATCTAAGAAAAAAGAAATAAATTTCTTTAATGCTGTTGATTAACTTGATAGACTCTTTAATGCTAGTGCCCTTTACCCGGCTTATAATCTTCTTTCATGAAATCTTTTTTTTATTATTTTTTTAAATAAGCAACTGCAGAATGCATTACAATTCTTATTACACATATACAGCACATTTTTCATATCTATGGTTGTATATAAAGTATGTTGACACCATTTCATGTCTTCATACATGTACTTTGGATAATGATCTCTATCACATTCCACCATCCTTGCTAACCCCCTGCCAACTCCCTTCCCCTCCCCACTTCTGCCCTATCTAGAATTCATGAAATCTTTTTTAAAGGACAGGTTAAATCACTCTGTTTAAATTTTAGCATTCTGATTTTATGTATCACCCTACCTCTTTTTTCTTTCTGCCAGCTGTTTGCAGACCTCCTGCCACCGTAGATTCAGGCTTCCCAATTTTTCCTGCAGAATACTGGCATCTGTTTTGGAGGACTGTTGAATTATTTCTTCTCCAGTTGCATTCAGGGTTCTGACAACAGTTTGCCTCTGCCCAATGCCATCCTGGAGTTCCTGTAAGATACCCAAAAAGGCGAAACAAAAATGAAGCCCCACATCCTTTTATTTGAGAAAAGATTAAACAATGTGTTACCACATGCAGTTGTACTGGGAGAGAAAGAAATATAAAAGCTCCATGTGAAAGTTGCTCTATGAAACTGACATGCCCACATCCAAAGAATACAAGACAGAAAGACACCTTTTATGTGTTAGTAAAAAAGTGCCCTCTCAGTTCAGCTCCAGTTTTTATTTTTGTAAGCTTGTCAGTGAGAGAATGTTATAATGTCCTACAAATCAATTAGTTGGAAAACTTTTCAAGAGCAAATTCGATTTCTTGTCCCCACAAGGATGTTCCATGGTTAATAGTCTATGAAGTGTTATAAAATTTAAATATGAACCAAGTATATAGGTTTCCAAGTGATTGTCGATATGAGAGGTAAAAAAGAATAAACATAGTTTAGCCATAGTATTAAAAAAAACCCTAGAGACTTTAAAATATAGTGAATTACTATATTAAAAAGAAATTTGTGTCAAATTCTGTTTATAATTGTGTCAAATTAACTGTTTATAACTTATCTGTGTTATCTTGCCTTATAAGGTCACATAAAGCTGAGAATTAATTTCTTTCGGGGATAGCCCATCAAAAAACCTCTAAGGTAAAATAATAAAATTTAAAATAGTCTATAGCCACCAGAACAATTTTATGAGTCATTGACAGGGTCAATTTAAATATCTTCTATTTTTTTATCGTGAATGAAATTTCAAGAGTAAAGTGTCAGAAATATTGTTTCACTAAAAGAGAGACTATTAAAACCAAGTACACATATAAATGAAAATGCCTTCTTACCAGTACATAAAAACAACAATCCCTCCTGATTTACCTTTTTGAAAAACAGAATTTATAAGGCAATTAAAATAACACATGAGTAATCCAAAATTTAGAAATGAAATGGTACTTAAGAACTTGAGATACCTTCATATTTAAATTGTATTCATATCCTTATATTATTGAAATAATAATAAAATATGGAGAATGTTCTATCAGATATAAGGAAAATTATTGAATATTCTTATATTCCCCTACTCCTTGGTCCAGTATGAAGTTCATATCCCCCAGGACATGCTTACCGAATAAATAAATAAATACATAATTTTGTAGGACAGAGTCAAGTCTCCCTTATACTCTCACTCCACATAATTCCTTGGCATTTTTTTTTACCATTTTCATATAATATTATTATTTTAATATTGGAACTTTTGTATCATATATCTATCAATTAAAAGATTCCACAAATCAACAAATAGAATGTCAAGGACATGGTACCTTACAACAAATAAAAAGTATGCATAGTTATTGAACCCTTCACAAGCTGTTTTGACCATTATCATGAGATGTGTTCTAGTAAATATGTGATATTTCCTTGCTCCCAAATGACTTTGGTCCATTGGTTATATCCTAGTCTTTACATTTTGTCTACTTCAGAGTTGCATGTGAGAGTTACTGCTTAGTAACAGGGGTATCAGTCATAAAAAAAACTGTGTTTATATTCCTATTATATCATGAATTCCTTGAGGTCAGTTATTTGTCTTACAATTATATCTTACTTCTTAGTACAATACTGTACCTGGTACATGGGAAGTTTCAGTAAATATCTGTTGAGTGTATAAATGAATCTTTTAATAAAGGAACTAGGGAAGGTAAGAAGAGAGGAAAGAATGGAGGAAAAAAGGAAGAAAGGAAAGGAAAGAGAGAAGGAAGGAAGTTAAATCTCATTATCCACATGGCATTATTTGTATTAATGAAATTGAGCACTTTGAAATTAAAATCCATTTCCTGATAACTGCTTTTACTTCTTGCTGAGGACAGACAGCAAGGAAGCAGAGAGTGACATGTTCTTTGGCTAACTAAATCTATATATGTATTTCACCTGACATTTGTTTCTATAAATTGTAATTATAACTGCTTCTGTGGGACCCACCAGTGGAGAAGCAATCTAACTGCTTCTTCCCAGTTTGATTAAACTGCATAAAGTTAATTTTCTTTTCTTCTCTGTCACCTCTTTCTCAGGTAGGCAGAGTATCAAATCTGGCCAGCCCAGGATCCAGACAGACTCCCTGATTGGCCGCCAGTAACATTAATACCTCTCATTGGGCCTCCTAGAGATTTTTAAAAATCAGCATAATTTTCTAGGTTTTAGGCAGTATATAATCTAGTTGAAGAGATTAGACACAGTGATGAATGATTATTTATTAAATTATGTGCAGTAGGATAGAGAAAGCATACCATAAACAGTAGATCAGAAGGGAGAGAATCACAGTAGGAGGATGAACAGGAAAGACTTCTGGGAAATTATGGAATTTAAAGAATGGGTAGGACTTAGGCACATGGAGGTTCAGGGGCAGCAAGAGGATGGCTAAAGTGGAGACCTGTGGTGTGCAATCTCTGTGATCTAATCAGGAGTATACAGTAGAATTTGATGTCAGTGTATGAGAGCATGAGTTTAAGGAAATTTTCAGCTGTGGGTATATACTGCAGCCTGGCAGAGAGGATTTGGCTTTTTATTAAGGCCTTTATAGCTAATTTAATTCAATAGATAACAACTCAGTTTTTAAATATGGGAGTATAAAGTTTAGAGCTGTGCTTCTGTGTAATTCTGAGGCACAGTACAGACTAATATCAAGGCAGGGAAACATGCAAAATAGCTAGGACAGGAGTCTTGTAGATGATAATTAGGACTAATACTAGATTTGACAATGGACCAAAAAGGAAAGGCTAGAGATAATATGAACTGTTAAGAAAGAATTGAAGGGGCTTTGAGTATACTGGGTCATGCAAGCATGAGTGACTGCTGAAATGGAGAAAACTTCTTAAAACACAGAAGTCATTGAGAAGGTTAGAGAAGAGAAAGAGGGCTCATATGAGTGACCTCAATGTTGTCCAATATTTACAATGATTAACTCATACTTTTAAAAATGCATGGGGCACAAATTAGACAGTTGACCCTCAAACTTTACTGTGTACAACAATATTTTGAAAATATTTTTTAAATTGCAGATTATGATTTAATAGTTCTGTAGAGTGGCTGAAATTCTGTATTTCTAACAAGTTCCAAGGGGATGATGATACTGCTGCTCCAGGAGCACCACTACGAGTAATAAGGTGATAGAGAAAATGCCTAAGAGTCTTTGTTAAATAATCAAGGAATTATTATTGCTGGTTACAAGGCTATAAACTAAAGCTGCTTCAGAATTTTTATCTTAGCCTCCTTGCACTGTATTTTTGATCTTAGCCTTTTACATTGTGGCTGATCGCTATGGTGGCTTTCATGACCCAATTGTACAGCCAACAAGGGTTTTATTATTTCTGTTACTCAGATAACAGAGAGAATTGAATAGCTCAGAATGAAGCAATAACTTAAAATTGTTAGATCTAAATCTCATTTATATGGAATCCAAAATCAGGCCTTTAGATTTTTTTTTTTAATTTTGTGAACTAAAATTCTAAATATTCCACTAAATATTCTACTGCATTTGTGGAAGATTTTGTAACCAGGAGAAACATTTATAGTATATTGTCTACTGGGAGAGAATTTTCAGTGATAAAACATAAGGAAGCAAAATAATGGAACAAAACAGGAAGTAAAAATTTGCATGTGGTGTTTTATAGTTAGCCTCTGAGCCAGAAAATAGATAGCATTTGATTTACAAAAGTAAACATCAAATCTCAATCAGCTTTGTTCATACAGTGAAAAGCAAAAATTAAATTTTATTCTATAGCTTTTAAATATTGTAAGCACTGAATTATTCATTACCAATGAAACTTCTAAGCTTTGATATAATATGAATATACTGTTGTCATAGGTATCCTTATCTATTTCTCTGGCAATTAACATCTAGTCTTAGTTTTAGAAAGAAAGAAAATCATAATTAAATCTATTGGATTATCCATCATAGTTAGAAAGCTTATTGTGTTTTGATTCCAATATTAAAACATTCATTCTTAATAAGGAATGCATATCAGACTCCCCTAGGGGATTTTTCAAAACATAAAAGCCCAGAGTTCTACCCTAAGCCCTGAACCTCAGGGGGGTGGGGGAAAGAATGGAAGAAAGTGTACAAAACAGATTATAAAAGAAATGTAGGCTAGAAATGTGAAGAGGACAGGGGAGAAGGAGGAGTACTTTTTTTTAGAATAGCTGCATTATTCTTTACTTCTTTCATGGTTTTTAAATTACGATGTGCTTCTAAATTACAGAAAGTGACACTATTATATATCTAAGTCCATCATGTCTGGTCAAACTGGGTGAAAGAGGAAATATAGGCAAGGAAGGAACTGCTACATTTTTAGAGAGGGAAGGATACGGAAAAAAAAGAAATGTATCTTTTATACAAAAATTTTTTTCATAAATTTTTGAAAAGTATTATATGTAAAAATTTCTAAAACTGAATAGAAACACAGCAAATGGAAAATAAAATGTGACAGATGAAGAAAAGGAAAAGGAATGAGCTAAGAAACAGTTATGAGAAATCATAAAATGACAAATTGAATGAGCATTGTAGGAGATAAAGAACTGGCAAAAACGTACAAACTAAGGGAAAAAGAGAAAAATAGGAGAGACAAAATATGACTGGGAGAAAAGATAAAGACAGAGGGAAATAAAGTAAAGAACAATGAATCTTCAATGAACAAGTAGATGTATGAAGAATTCAGTCCAAGAGTTTTTCTGTAACTTTGCTAGGGAATTATTTTGAGAGATCAATCATTACCTCAGTTTACAGACTGAGCAAGTAAAAACCTGTAATAAAATGAACCTGCGGAGAGTTGTGAAACTGGCAGACAGTCACCAGGCTGTCTTCAGAGATCTTAATATGCATCAGAAAGTAACTTTCAAATTTCATAAGATGATGAACTTTTGTTAGGAAGCAACACAAATGAGCAAATACCCATGGGATACAATAAGGCACAGGGACAGGATACAGTTTAGTTCATCCATGGATTGGGTAATTCTACCCTAATGGAAGACCTTCTGATACTGACTGAGCATCTGATGAGGACATTC